TCTAAACTATTATAACTAAAATGTTTCCAATCAATATTTGGAAAGTTGAAGTCACCCATGACTACAATCCTGTGACTTCACCACCTTTCCAGTATCTGCCTCCCAATCCGCTCCTCTACTTCTCTGCACCTATTAGGGGATCTGTAAAAAACCCCCAACAAAGTGACTGCTCCTTTCTTGTTCCTGACCTCAACCCAAACTGACTCGAACTGCCTTTCAGTAGCTGCTATACTCGCCCTGACTAGCAATGCCACTCCCCCATCTCTTTTTCCACCTTCCCTATTTCTTTTAAAGCATCTAAATCCCGGAACTTCCAACAACCATTCCTCTCCGAGTTACCCAAGTTTCTGTAATGGCCACAACATCATAGTTCCAAGTACCGACCCATGCTCTAAGTTCATCCACTTTATTTCTGATACTTCTTGCATTGAAGTATACACACCTCAAACCATCTCGGTGTCCGCAATTACGCTCCATCGATCATTTCTTTTTAAACCACCTCACTCCCTGTTGTGTCTGTTGGAAGGCCGAATACCTCATCCTCTGAATTATAAATCCGGTTCCCCACCCCCTGCCAAACTAGTTTAAACCATCCCGTACAGCTCTAGCAAACCTCCCTTCCAGGATATTTGTGCCCTTCCGGTTCAGGTGCAACCCGTCCTTACTGTACAGGTCCCACCTTCCCCAGAATGTGCTCCAATTATCCACATAATGGAAGCCCTCCCTCCTACACCAGCCCTGTAGCCACGTGTTTAGCTGCACTCTCTCCCTATTTCTTACCTCGTTATCACGTGGCACTGGTAGTAATCTAGAGATAACTACCCTGTTTGTCCTGGACTTTAGCTTCCAACCTAACTCCCTGTACTCGTTTTTCACATTCTCAGGCCTTTTCCTACTTATGTCATTGGTACCGATGTGCACCATGACTGCTGGTTGCTCACCCTCCCCCTTAAGGATCTTGAAGACACGATCCAAGACATCACGGACCCTGGCACCTGGGAGGCAATATGCCATCCTTTCATCTCGTTCGCCTGTCTGTGCCTCTTACTATTGAATCCCCCACTACAATTGCTCTCCTATTCTCCCCCCTTCCCTTCTTTGCCACAGGGTCAGACTCAGTGCCAGAGGCCTGTCCGCTATGGCCTTCCCCAGAAGGTCGTCCCCCCCGCCAACAGTATCCAAAACGGTATACTTATTATTGAGGGGAATGGCCACAGGGGATCCCTGCACCGTCTGCCTATTCCCTTTCCCCTTCCTGACAGTCACCCAGCTACCTTTTTCCTGTACCTTGGGTGTGACCACCTCCCTGTAACTCCCCTCTATCACCCCCTCAGCCTCCTGAATGATCCAGAGTTCATCCAGCTCCAGTTCCCTAACACGGTTTTTGAGGAGCTGGAGTTGGGTGCACTTCTCGCAGGTGGAGTCAGAGGGGACACCAGCAGTGACCCTTACCTCCCACATCCTGCAAGAGGAGCATGCAACTGCCCTAGCTTCCATTCCAATTTACACGAGATAACAATCAACAAAAGGCTTTTTAGTAAGAAAATGGATAGCCCTGGGTGAATCAAAGTCTAGAAACTATTGAAGTTAACTGAGAAAACGATATTGATGAGAATGTTGTAAATGCTTTCAGTGTACTCTTCCATAGCTCTCAATTCTGGAACTTTCTCTTCAAATTGGAACACTTCTATGCAATTTCATTACTTAACGAAGGTTATAAAGGAAAAGAAAACAGTAAATTAGAACCATTGTCTGCCATCTGTGATGGGAAGCAACCGGAATCTATAATCAAGGGAGGTGCCATTGATCACATGGAGAAATTTGAGCTAATGAGAGTGCCCATGTAAAAGGTAGGGCACAAGTTAACAAGTTTAAGTGAATTTTTGAGGAAGTGACTGAAATAATAGACAAGGGAAATGTCTACAGGTCTAACGTTTAAGAACGGTGGAGAAATAGCCATTCAATTTGCTAGGCCTGCTCTGCCGTTCAATTCATGGCTGATTGTCAACCTCAATGTCACTTCCCCATGGTATCCCCATATCCGTTGATGCCATTAGGTTTTTTTTCCTCTTTATTCATTCATGGGATAATGGTGTTGCTGGCTAGGCAGCATTTATTGCCCATCCCTAACTGCCCAGAAGGCAGTTAGGAATCAACCACACTGCTGTGGGCCTGGAGTCACAAGTACTCCAGACCAGGTAAGGATGGCAGTTTCCTTCCCAAAAGGACATTAGTGAAGCAGATGGGTTTTTCCAACAATCAACAATGGATTCATGGTCATCATTAGATCCTTAAGTCTACATATTTATTGAATTCAAATCCCACCAATTGCCACGGTGGGATTCAAACCCGGGTCCCCAGAACATTATCTGATTCTAGGGATTAACAGTCCAGCGGTAATACCACTAGGCCATCACCTCCCATCTAGTAGAGATATCCATCAATTTCTGTCTTGAATATGCTCAATGATTGAGCTTCTGCAGCCCTCTGTGATAAAGAATTCTAAAGATTTACCACCTGAATGAGGAAATTCCTCATCTCAGTCTTAAACGGCTGACCCCATATTCTGAGACTATGTTCCGTGGCTCTCAACTCATCAGCCAGGTGCTACATTCTACCTACATCCACCCTGTAAGAACTTTCTAAGTTGCAGTGAGAGCACCTCTCGTTTCTCTTAACAACAGAGAATATAGGGCCAGTTTCCTCAACTTCTTACAAAACAATCCATCCATCCCAGCAATTGGTCTGATGAATATCATATGCACTCTCCTTCCTTGGGTAGGGAGACCAAAACTGTACAGAAGAGACTGTTAGGTTAAATTATAGCTTGTGGAACTGATGGCATGTTATTAACTTGGCCAGGAGGTAGAAGTTGGAGTAGTGAAACCCAACATAAACTGGAATTGGAAGGAAGTAGCATTTCACAACCAGCAAATTACTGCAGATGCTGAAATCTGCACTGAAAGCAAAAATTACTGGAAATCACAACAAGTTGGGCAGCATCCATGGAGAGACAGCGAGAGCTGCCTGACCCTGCTATGATTTCCCGCATTTTTTGTTTCAAGCATTTCACAAGGATCTATGTCAGGCCCTCAAATTTTCACTACATTTATCAATGGATTATATCACAAATAAGATCCGTACATCCAACTTTGAAGACACAGTAAATGGTGATTATAGAGTAATTACAGAATGGGATTCTACTCGATCTAGTCAGTCCACTGCTCTACCAAGTTCTCCAATCAATTCTTGCCTGAAAAGAGAAGAAACCCTCGACATAGCACTGCAATATCACATTAAAGTAGTTAATCATAAGTATTTATGGGCGAAACTGGACAGTAGCTTGAATTGGAGGGAACAATGCACAAGGGACATCTTGTACCTCAGAAAATTAAATTATTTACAACTTGATCCTATAACCATGAAATTCTTTGATATAGCTGTAGTTGAAACTGCTACCCTAACTGGAAGCCCTGTGTGTTACAGCTTTCTTAGGAAAGCAGACTCTTCAGGGTACAGGGATTACTAAACCAGGCAGGTGGGATATTTGATGCCTTGTAATGGAATCTGATCCCAAAGATTATTTAGTGAAAGAGCACAATGAACCATCAAGATCACCCCTTGGTTCAACATTATTGTTGGATGTGTTCAGAAAAGAGGCTACAATTTCTTAGATGCAGAACAAATCAGCACTTGAATCATTTGCACCATTCTCTATAAAAACTTTTCACAGGAGCTAGGTACAGATGAGAATATGTACTCGGGAACATTTAAACTGATTATTCTAAATAAACAGAATTGTTTGAATACATATTTTAAGATAAATTTCTGTGGCAAAATAACTTCTCTATCATTTTCAATTACTTGTATGCGTTTTTAAAACATAAATGAACAATATACTCAAAATAAACCGTTGTATGGAATTCTCTGTATGGACAATAAAATGAAAACTTTTAATACTGTGCGCTCTTGTCCTTGCACTCTGGTATGGTAAGTTTTGGAAATGGGAACACAAAATTCCAGAGACACTGGTAAATTTTTGAGTAGACTGAGGTAGCTGGATTTCAACATAGACAAGTATAAGGTCATCCAGGAGATAGCAAGAACTGCAGACGCTGGAGTCAGAGTCAATACAGCGTGGAACTGGAGGAACACAGCAGGATAGGGTTCATCAGAGGAGCAGGATCAAGACCAATGAAGGGTGTAAAACTGAAACGTCGACTTTCCTGCTCCCATGAAGTCATCCATTTTGGACGAATAAATGATAACACCAAACAATTTAAATGAGAAGTTAGAAACAGTAGAGATTCAAAGATACCCAGGGATCCAATTAAACATCACAAAAATAAAACTAAGCTATACAAAATAATGAGGAAAGCCATTGGAATTATTAGCCATTAACTCGACAGCTAGAACATAGGGGCTGGATAATTTGCTATGGCTGTACAAAGCCGTGGCTATACTGCATCTAGAATACTGCTTACAATTCTGGACACTGTACCTTAACAAGGATGTACAGCCTTACAGGACTGACGGTCAGATTTACCAGAATATTAACAAGAACAATTGAGGAGATAACTTCATGATTTCAAATAAACAAGAACAAAGGTGATCTGATAGATGTTTACAGAATTTTGAAAGAAACTGAGGACAACTTGAGAGAACCTTTTCCAACGATGGGGGAGTGAAGAAAAAAGGGAAGAACCAGAGCTAGATCAATGGGAAGCTGAGAAAGGATATTAGCAATTCTAGGAAATGAAAAGGTGTCTTGTACAAGAAAAGACCAAACAGAAAGAATTTTACTGTATAGAACAGGACATTCAATAGAATCTAGGAAGAAATTTCAAAATGTAAGACGAATCATTATATTTCTTCCTCCACCCCAACCATTTACTTCACTTTATTCCATTAACATATCCTTCAACTGTTTTCTCCTAGTAGACTTTTTCAAGTTTCCCTTACAACTAGATGAAACCAAGAAATGAGTCTATAGTTTTATTTCAGAATTTCTGTGGAAGTTTTATTACCTTTACAAAACTCATGCGTATGGTGCACATCTTGGTAAGCTCATAAACTGCTTCAAAGCCATGGTTTACCGACTGGGCCAAAAGCTGGGCGAACTCCTGATTGTTGAAGATCTTCAAACTGCATCCACTGGGAATCTTGCAAACAGTTGTTGGATGGAAGCCATGATGATAATTGCAGTTTCGACTTTGTACAAAAATACTACTGTCACTCAGGCACTCAGCATACACCTCTCCTCCAACATAATAAAGGTGAACACCTACAAAATCAACAGGCACAGGTTTGCATTCCATACATTTCAAGCTACTACTTCCATTTTTCTTAACAAGAATTTCATTTCAAAAAGAATTTGTTGATGATAAAGTTCTTGGAGATGTTTGAACATATGAATACAGCACCGTACAAATAGAGTTATTTACCAGGTGTAGGTGCGATTGACTCTTAACTGTCCTTTGAAATAGCCCAGCAAATCACTCAATCAAGGGCAATTAGGGCAGCAAATGCTGGCCTTGCCAGTGACAACCATATCCCATGAAAGAAATTTAAAAAACATAACTCAATTGTCTTTAAAGTATTTAAATAACATTACAGAGATAAACATTTATATTGTGAACATAAATGCAAATTATTTCGCTATACTATGATCTTTTGTCCTGTTTCACTCTTGTACACCTCCAAGAGGCTGGAGGAACAGTGCTAACAATAACTATTTCTCATCAGGCCAGTCTTCATCCAGATGGAATTGGTGAAAATAGTCAGGGCTGTGGCAGCAACTGATATAGTCTATAGTTAATTACCTCAAACAATCCTCCAAATCCCCTGATGTAGCTTCTAAGTACAAGAATTTTTGAAAGACAATGGTTAGATCCTACTTTTGGTTTATCTTCAGCAGTCAAGCATAGATACCTTTAATATGTTTTCTCCAATTTCAGTATTACTTCCTTGCCCACAGTTCAAAGTTTAGAAACAAATGTGATATGGGGAAAGTGGTGATGTTGGTATTTATTGTCAATCTGTAGTTTCGCCTCCAGGGAGCGAGCAGACCTTCTTGAATCACTGCAATCTGCGCAAATCTACTCTCAAAATAGAATTAGGTAGGGAACTGCATAATGACAAAGTATTACCAAATCAGGATGAAGAATGCCTTGGAAAGGAAACCTGCTGTTTCAGTTGATGGAGCCTCTAGGTGCAGGAGGCATTGATGAAGGAGCCAAAAGAACTGCAGATACTGATAAATCAAACAAAAACGCGAATTGTTGGAAAAGCTCAGCAAATTTGGCAGTGTCTATGAAGTGAAATCAGACCTAATGTTTCGGGTCCGGTGACCCTTTCTCAGAACTCTTCAGTTCTGAGGAAGGATCACCGGACCTGAAATGTTAACTCTGCCAAGCTTTTCCAGCAATTCCTGTTGATGAAGGAGCTGCCTTGTAGCAATGTACCATGTAATTCAGAACTGGAAAAATTATGATCCATAGAGACTTATAATCTGGCTGAACGCACACACATGCAACATGCAACATGCAACATGCACCAGTAAACAAAACGCAATCTGATCCACTGCTCCTGGTTGAGCAGCTTCAGAAATGACAGAGAAACACAGATCCTGGTGACCTTAAAGGAAAAGTGCTTTTAGGCCAATGGAAGCATTTCTAAGTGAGTTAGAGTTAGCCAATGATCAGAGCCTGGAGGCAGGTGTCTATTAGAAAATGCAGCCACTATGCTAAAACAATGCTACATAGGACATAGGCCATTTCACTCCCAAGAACCCAAGTAAAGTTGCAATAATGCAATTATCAGCAAATGTCCCAACTTTTGATCCTGCGATACTAAGAAGGTCATCAACAAGCAGCTCATCAACAAGCAGCTGAAGAGTTTGGGCCGAGGTCACTACCCAGGTGAAATCCTGCAGCAATGAGTCGGGACAGCTGTTTCATTTCTTAAGCATTTATTTGCCCTGTCCCTATAAAATTTCATTACACAGAAGTAGCCCTCTGGCCAAAGGCTTTGCTGGCCAAATGCAGCCCACAGGTTGTAATTCTTCCAGATTTACTCAAGGATGAAATATACAGATATTTGGTCCCCTCAGATATTCAAAGGATAGGTAGAGTAAGAAAGTGAATTTGAGCTACCGATAACAATTAATTACAGGAGAAGGCTCCGGGAACTGGAGCTCCTATTTATGCAATATTTCCCATGGAACTTAAAAATTGAGAGATTACCTTTGCCAATGTGTCTCCTAGTGTTTTCAATAGTTGAATTACGATTCACATTGGACAGAAGCCCAAGGCAGAATCGATTCTTGTTGTTTGAAGGATCAGTAAATCCATCCACCAAGACACTAGTGGAGGAGGCCTGGAAAGCTTCTCCCACACGGTTATTCAGCTCATAATAGACAATAGAGCACCAGTGTTTTGGTTCCTCATAAGCAACTGGTTGAACATCTGCAGAGAAAAGCTTACCATTAATATTTCTAAACTAACAGCTGCTCCTATTGCAAACAAGACAGCTTCAGAGAAAACATATCTTAATAACTAGTGCATTTATGCTGAATAGATTGTATTACGATTGAAGTCATAGTCAGCAACTTATCAATTTCTCCCAAAAGCGAAAACTACCCAAAATATTTCATGTTCCACAATGCCACTGAATAAATTAAATATTAATTGGGGTACAATTTTGTAGATAACAAGGATACTATGACACCTCACTGGCCATTTAATCTAAGCCAGAACTTTGATCTTTTGTCTTACAGAATGGGGCATGGAAGTGGGATAGATCTGAATTCCACTTGAAGCAGGATCACTAGTTCGGAATTACACACAGTAATAGTTACCAATTTTGCCCTCCTTAATCCAGGAGTATTAAGGTCATTATAGCTTTCTAACACACACTTGTGATCAAAAGCAGTCTGTATATTTAGCTAGTGATTACCTTAACCAGACAACTTTAGGTGGCTCTTTAATAGGTTAAGACAATTTAATTTTTTAAACCTATTTTTATCAGCCTGTTCAGAGATGTTACACACCTCTGGAGGAGGTGGGACTTGAAATTGGGCCTCCTGGTTCAGGGGTAAAGACACCATCACTGTGCCAAAAGAAGGCCTTACTGCATATTTTTGACAGTCTACACAATCAAGTGCAGGTGGGTAGAGAATTTGTTTCACAGCTAGTCGTCATTAGTTAGCCACTAGTAGCTATAAGGGAGTTAGAATGGTAATCAATCTTACAGAAAGAAAGAAATACTTTGCTTATGAGGACACACTAGAGGAATAGCTAAGGTCAGAACTTTATTGCATCAGTACAGGAATAGTGGCATCCTATAATTTACCAATAATGTTTTATGATGCAAAAATTAGTTTAACACACAAGGATTAACATTTCCTTTGTTTTAAAGCAAGACTAATTATTAAATGTTTACATATGTGATAGGAATGATTAAAATAATTTATTAAGTGTCATTGTGAAATGAAGCATAGAACTTTTCCAATTTTCATAGAAGGTCAACCACAGATATACTACTTTTTGGAAAACAGATAATTTTCAAAAGGAGTTCAGAGACATGAAACTTGGTTCATTATTTAAGAATGGAAAGCCAAACTTGGATAAATAAGAAATTGCCAAAGCACTACCGATGGTCAGTTTCACTGGAAAAAAAATAGGATTTCCTTCAGATCCCTAACAAGACTTCCTTACATTTGTCCCAAAATCATGAAGGAAAGATGTTCTTTGTCTTGTAGTTTCCAAATCACGCTAATGTTGTAAATGCTTGACAACACTACAGATTACAGCTTGTTAAATGAGTTTTTCATGACTGAACTACAGTCCCAAGAATAACAGCATTTCTAAGCACTTCAGCCTGGTACTTTCTACCATGAAGAAACTAATATCTATTTCAAAAAAACACAACAAACCATTTAAACTATAGTATACACACAATATAATGGAAACTTTGGCCTTAACAAGCACACAAGACATCAGCACTCTATTTCAGGACAACTATGCAAGGTCAGGTCTTCAATGTACTTAAGTTATTTTAAAATCAATGAATGAAAGCATCACCTAAGTCAAATACTACATGACAATTCTGAAACTTCTGCAAGTACAACTGCATATGGAACACAAAACTGAAACCAGTACAGTGACCAAAATGAAAGAATCATCCACGTTTGAGAGATAGGACACATTAGACAATGCAGCAAAATACACTGGTGGCATTGTCCATAAAAGTGCAAACTGCAAGTCTCTGTAATTCCAATATGCAAACGCTTTATTCTGTCTCATGCAGTTAAATTTATTAAATGCACTAAATTTTGCACTTGTACACAGTGTTCCAGGCTTTTAGATCAGACTTTTGGAGCAGCAGGGGGACAGATGCAGTTCACAAAACCAATACTATCAAGCAAATATCCAGCACAGAACTTTTAATTCTCAATATTGTTCCAATGACAGATCAGCACCCCAAGCTACTATGGACATTTTTAAACTTGCAATTCCAAAATACTTTTCTTCTAAAAAAAAAGACATCTGATATAGCCAAAATCAGCTCATGACTTAAACCATGCAGATGTCTGGAGAAGAAGACTGATGGAAAATGCCGAAGAAAATTTACAGGACTACGAAGATTGAGCTAGAGAATGGAACTAGCTGGGTTGCTGTTTTGGGAGCTGGTACAAAAAGAATGTGTCGAATGGCCTCCTTCTGTACTGCAAAATTACATGATTCTATAATTCTATAAACTTCAAACAGACTGGACAGTGACCTTTTGTCACTACAAAGACAATGAGGTGCTAATGATACCCTGCTCAACAGCAAGCCAGTCCCCTGTGAATTATGTCCCAAACTGCAGATACATTGTGACTTTCCCCTTGAATAATGTACAATGATAGGATTTAAAAAGCCAGTTTCAACTTTACTGCAGTATGCTAGTAGAACTGAACTTTCCAGCTTTAGCATACTGTGAAGGTCACAGTTCAAGAACTACCCCCAGTCAACCCTGTGCTGCAGATAAGATTCTCTCTCCCCAAGTGCTAGAAGTCAGCAAGCAAGCTAGCTAGATAGCAAAAAGGAAGAACTCTCTCACTCTAACTACTGCAAACCATTTAAAAAAGCAACTCACGACTCAGCCTACCAAATCAAGAGTCACGAATTCGACAGATCAGCTATGAACACCATGTCACCAGTAAAGGCCACAATACTCAATCATCAGCTCTTCACAAATTATTCAGAAACTGACCTGTATCTCTCTTTTTAAACTTTTATCTTTTCAATTCCCTTCCCACATCTACCATTTGTGGGTGTTGCGTTGCTAATTCTTCTTGCATTTAGTAATAAACTGCCTTTTTGTTAATTCAAGCAAGTTTGGATAAATTGGTTCCTTTTAAAATGCAAGTTAATTTGGATTGGAGAGAAAGATGTCCCTCAAAGTAAACAATCCTTTTTTTAAATTAACCTTGTTACGACTACCAAGGGTGTGGGTGCCTAAAGGGGAGCTACATTGTCCCTCCTCACCAAGGAGCTTTGCAGTTTCAATATCCAACCTGCAACTAGAATGAATTCAGAACCTGCTCATGGGTCTGGATTGTAACAATATTCACTATCAAGAGTAGTTGTCTTCAAAACAATACTAGCCATTGGTAGCAAAATTAATGTATAACTATACAATATAACTCAATACTTCTAGGTGGATGCCACTAATGAGATTAGGTTTCATAAATTAAGCTCCTGACTAAGAACTAGGAATGCTTGAGCTTTAAGGACTGCACCTAGTCAAGGTTAAGTGCCACAATCTTCTCTCTGCCACTGCATATTTAATCTCCCTCTGCTACTGGACCCATGGTCTGCAATCACTTGGATACAGAAACTTAACAGTTGACAATGGGATCAGTATGATGAAAGTCTGACATTGTCAGTGGATGGAATGTATAGGAGGTACAAACAGGTTAACAAGCAAAGCCCATGAAGATTTGTCAGACTTTGAGGAGATTTCTTCAATCATGAGATGGCCAAAATGGCTATTCTCAGTGCTCAAGTTAGTGCTAAAAACTTACAGGCAGAAATTTCAAAACCTCCATTAATAGCCTCAGCAGATTTGCTGAGTTTTAGAGGGTGAAGCAACTTGCTTTCAACCACTGGATTGAGGCACTTAAAGTTCACCTATGAAAGCCTCAAAAAAGTAGTATTCCTTGAAGAATTTAAAAATTCTCAACCTCTGCAAGTACATACATAAAGAACCCAAAGGCTTCAAAAGCTAGTAAAGCAGCCCAAATGGCTGATGATTACAAGTTTGTCCACAAGCTCTAACACCAAACCACTTTGTATTCTTGTCAGGTCTGCTGCAGTGTTAACAAAGTGGGAGGGTAATAGGAAGGAGTAATGAGAGGCAAGAGTCGATAGTTGGGAACACAAGGGGTCCACTCCTCGAGCCAAAATGGCTTTTGGGCATCACTCCTACTCTTAGCAACGTGCTTCCATTGCCACAAGACAGAACATTCTTGAACTGAATGCTTTAAACCAAACTGTAGGCTGATGCTAATAATAGGGATCTTTAAAGTTGCTACAGGAAAGGCTGCACCAGAGAAAGAAATGGGTGTTATTGCAGTGGCATTGATAAATGTGCTCTCTCAGAACCTACTTAAATGGAGAATGTGTGATAAGTTCCTCCAACAGAACAAGTTAGTGTTTAAAGACACACTGGGGCAGTTCAGTCATTGATAGTAGCTGATAATGATTTGTGTTCTAGGTAGTTTGATGGAAAAAAATAGTGGATATTCGTAGGATTAATGAACCTGTTTCCTTATACAAAATGTTGTTATAAAGTTGTCTAGTAAGTGGCGTTAAGTCCGTGGGAATTATTCAGAGTTTATTGAAATGGTAAATTTTATAACGGATTATGATTTGGCTGGTGTAGATAGCACCATGCTGACCATCATGTTGCAGCTGTTGCTTTGTGACGTTGATCTTGCCAAACTCCCTAACATGACTGTGGCCAAAGTCGAGAAGCTTACTACCAATAATGAACAAATATAAAGAAAAAATTTGTTTGAAAAAAGACGAAAGGTAGTGAAAAATGAAAATCACAAATGGTTGTGAATACTTGAACATCTGTCAATAAATGAAGATACTTGAAGCAGCACTGGCAACAGCTAAATGATAAATTTGTAGAAGCAAATTCAGTAAGACAGATCTTCAATTAAAACTTGGAGAACTTAAAAGTATCAGCCACCAGGAAGTAGGAAAAACACTTTAAAAAGGAGAGAAACGACAGGTTATGAACCGCTGGAACTTCCCTTTTTTTTACATTTATTCATTTATGGGATGTGGGCATCACTCTTTGGCCAACATTTATTGCCTGTCCCTAGTTGCCCTTGAGAAGATGGTGGTGAGCTGCCTTTTTAAACCTCTACAGTCCATGTGCTGTAGGTAGACCCGGTTAAGGAGTGAGT